TTTAACCTTTCCGAATTTCCACTTTCCGAATGAGAAATCCGAATTTCATTACCTTGGACTACGGTAGTAGGGGCCAAAGAACTGTGGTAGCGCCGACAAGATGGCGCTCCAATGGCAGGAGTACGGGAAGCTCGCTGAAAAGTACGTCCAGGAGCTGCTGGGGCAAGCTTACCATTTCAGAAAGCAAGCCGTCGCATACAGCCAGGAGAATTACCACGTTGGCCGGGCCCTTGCCCAGCGCAGATTGCAGGAACTTGCGCAGGCGCCACCGATTGCCGACCTTGCGAAGCAACTAGACGCGAGGGCTGAGACGCTGGTCGTTGCGGCGCTCGCCGCTCTCCTTCTCGTGGTGCTGGTCCCGCTGCTTTTGTTGCTGAGGTCAGCGAAGAAGTCCAAGGGGGATACTATTATACTGGCGGGCCTGACGGGGGCAGGCAAGACTGCGCTGTTCACGCAGTTGCGGGATGGCTCCCTGCACAGTGGGACGGTCACATCGATGGAGCCGAATGTGGGGCGATTTGTGCTGTATGGGGAGAAGCCGACGAGCAAGCCGGTCCAGATAGCGGACATTCCGGGCCACCCGAGGTAACAACTTCTGAACAACGTGTGTGGTTTGTGATGGTAATCTGTTTACCGGAGTGTAAAGTCCTCTTTAACCCGGCATCTTTATGCACTTTCCATTCTTAGAGTTGGTGTTTTGAGACTCCTTTCTGCCTCAACTTTCCGCACTGCCAGCGATCAGAGCTGCATCAGCGTCTTTTACGCTCCGCAACAAGCAAGCTGTAGACTTGAGGGTTTCCGCCCCTGGTCGTTTGTTGAGATAAGATACTCTATGGAATCGCTTGCAAGTAATGGATTCCTGTGCCTTGATACCTGATCCTGTTCAGGCTATGTGAATCTACTCAGACTCATAGGTCAACCTGCTTGGTAAAATGGGCCAAAAACAAATAGCCTTGGTAAACTGCTCCTTCTTCCTGACTTCACAATCGCCCGAGCTCCACTTTTCATGCTAACTGCGGATGTGTGTCAGACTGATCCTGGCATTCTGCTTCGAGACTGAGGTTTCGTTTCACCATGCCCTTTCACTCAAGGATGCTGTTTGGAACTCTCAGGTTGCGAACGAAGCTTGACGAGTACCTGCCGAAAGCGCGCGGGATCGTGTTTGTCGTCGACGCCGTTGACTTTATGCCAAACCTGCGCGCCGTGACGGAGCTGCTGTACGACATTCTGACGCGAAGGGAGGTTGTCCGGCGGCGGATTCCCGTTCTGATTGCGTGCAATAAAATGGACCGTCTCACAGCGCACACGGTGGACTTCATCAGGAAGCAGCTCGAAAAGGAGATGTGAGTGGAATACATCAAAATCTGGCCGGATTTAGAGTTTTAGAAGTGTTGACGCGTTGATAGCTCGATAAGGAGGGGAGAAAGACAGCATCTTTCAGAGTTCAGAGTCCTTTGACATCCGGCCTGGTCAAGCATTCTCCTTCGCAGATTACCGCTTACCAAAATTTTCGAATTGGTCTTGATGAGGCTCGAAAACCGCTGATTAGAGGGTGACTTGGTCAGGAGAGGTTGGTTATTTATGGGCGTTCGGCAGGGTGGGGTCAATTTCTGAATCAGGACTTTCCATGTGCTTTTCCTTTGACCGGCTTCGCATTTGGTTGTCAGTTGGCCTGCTTCGCACAGCCTCAGGATGTAGTCAAAGACATGCCCAGGTAGGTAGCTGGATATTCTGTAGTGAGGGAGGTCACAAACCCTGTTAGCTGTCAAGCTTTTGCTGGACGGCCTTCCTTTGAATCTGACAAAGCGATGAGCGATTTGGCAGACATGAGAGCAGCTGGCTCAGTTGATAACGTGGACGTTGAAGTGGTTTGAATCGACCCGCCCTTGGGAACAATGTCAAGAGGAGCGGTATTTTTGGCTGTGATTGTATCACGGATTTAACAACGCTTTATCCAGGAGAGTGATGGACGTTTGGGTTTTCTCGATGCAGTGACAAGCTCCGGGTGACTCGGACGTCAATTTCGGACGCAGACGTGGGGAGTGCGGAGGAGATCCATCTAGGCAAGGAGGGAGAAGCCTTCAAGTTCGCCCAAACCTTGAACAAGGTTACTGTGGAAGAAGTGTCGGTCCACAAAGACAATCTGGACGGCATCCGAGAGTTCATTCGGGAGAGGATTAAGGCCTGACACAGAAATAAAGGTCATCAAGGGCTATGTGCGACCTCGAAGGTGTTCTGCCCGTTTTGCGAGCACATGTTGGGTCGAGCAGCGCGAGAATCATGTTGGATACAGGCATTCGTTTTGGTCTCGTTTGTGTCTCGATGATCACGTGGGCAAAGCCACGAGAGAGTGTGTCGGATGAATTTTAGATTTGCGAGCGGTCTTGCTTATGAGACTCATCCCAAAGCCAGTGCTTTCAACAGGACACATGTTTGCTTGTCAACATGGCAAGAAAATGCTTTCTTGTGGTGCTTCATTGCACGAGTACTTTCTTGTCTGTTAGACCTTGATGGAACTTGCTGTTTGTTTACTTGTTGACACATATGACTGTTTCCACTGTGTAATGCGCGTGCATCTATTCGAACATGCAACACAAATTATTGAGTGTCCCGCCTAATGATCATGATGTTGCCGCTTCACGTATGATGGATGGATATGATATCCTTGCAAGGTTTGCCCGTATATCAAAGATGGTCAATGTAAACGCTGCGTCAGACCATCATGCTGTTTTAGAATTCTCATTTATTGCAGCCGGGACCACATACTGATGATCATTGACCCTGACAGCTGCCAAGGTATTATAAGCATGTCCTTAGTATTGCCCGCCTTGCGCAACAACTCAAAGGGACCGTGTCACATGTGAGCTCAAGCATGTGCGCAGTCCGGTGACTGGTTCATTGGCACCAAGTGAAGCGAGTCAGAGATCTCACATTGTGCAAGTATTGAAGACCTCTGGCATCATCAGAGTCAGCTCCGCAACTGTCTGCGGGAGCCATGTTCAGACTTACACATGGGGAAAACCCTCAAATCTCATGCAAGAGTATCAAACAGACACATACCTGAAACTGCATGAAACATGTACCACCATTTTGCCACCTTGAACTCAGTAATGAATGCTACTGGAGCTTGGGATTTAGTGTTGAGCAAGCTTTTGAAGAGCAGACACCCGCCTTAGATAGCGACTTTACAAGCTCTTCAATGAACCGCTGGGAACAGGAGAGTGCATTCAAGTTCGAGATCTGCAACATGTACCAGAACCTCCAGCACACCCACTTGCTGACAACGCTTCAATCAGATTATTGTGAACTTGAGGTGACATGGTTCAACGTTCATTTCTGTCCTGTAATTGTGATGTATCCCCACTTTGATATAGACTACTTTGCCACCGATTACAAGTGACACTACTTCAAGCCTCTGTTATACCAAGCATGAGTTGCAACACCGTGAAAACCAGATAAAAGCTCCCGCCTAGTATAACGACGGTCAACGCTGCTGTCACAGGCTTCTTAAACAAGTCTCCCAACGGTCTTACCAACATGTAAAAGCCCCCGCTGGTCACGCTGAAGAAATAGAGAATGAATCGCCGAACGTTGTCCCAAAACTCGTCGTACAGCGGGTCAAAGTTGAAAGCCAGCGCGCGCATGTCCTTGTCTAGGGGGATATGCAGGTGGTCGAAGTCGGCCGCAATTGCCGGCTCCGAAAGCGCGCCGGCCACCAGAACGCTGCACCCGATGGCCAGGCCCAAGAATGCCATTGATGAAGACGAGTTCAACGAAGTAAAACTCTGCAACTTATTCGCATCACTTTCAACCTTCTGAGCGGCCGGCACTTCTATCCTCCTGTCCAATTCCCCATCTTCAGCACTACTCGGCATTGAACAGTGCGTGTAACAAGTGGACTGTGGGGCACTCCTGCCTTCAAGCCATCTCACTGACGTTCTTCCGGCAGTGTTGCTGCCAACAATCCCCCTTGATTTCAGGGCTGTAGATTGTCTGTAACTCCTGCAATATGCGCGAGATTTGTAACTTACAGAGGGGAGGCTGCCGCACTCCACTTGACTGCCCGCCCGGCAATTCAGTGTGGAAAAGGAATGATGATGCGTGTGTGCAGGGCATGACAAAGCCATGGCTGCTGGGCCAGTGCTGAAAGAAGTGCCAATTCTGCGAAGCAGGAGCGCCACCACCACTGCCACTGCCAGCACCAGCAGGTTCTTCAGCAGTTTTCAGCTGGACTGAGTGATCTGGTCCCCTCGATCCGACCTCCATTTTTCAGAGTACACTGCCTTCCCTCATACAAGCTTCTCGCCAACCTAGTCTGCTCTGAACAGGGATGTGATGCCGTAGATCACATTCAGACACAAATTTTGACCGTCGATGAGCTCCAGAGTCCTAGAGCAGCTTTGCATGGATTTTGATGACGTCGCCACCAACTCCAGTACTACCGCGGCCATAGCTTACGAATTTTCAACAATGCTGAGATGTTTCCTCTCCACTCTACGGAGCCTGTCTACTGCGGGCCCGTATGCTGGTGATTATTTTCTACTGCCGCTGCTAATAATACTGCGCATCTGCATTTGCATCAGTGCGCCTGCATTCTTTGTATAATAGGTAGTTGAAATCTCAAAGCGGTGATCTACCACCAGACCTTCAGCAATGGCTGACATTCCGCGCGGCGTGCTCTTGGGGATGGGCAACCCTCTTCTTGACATCTCAGCGGTGGTCGATGAGGCGTTCTTGGAGAAGTAAGTCAACTTAAATCCGCTGTATGTTGATCATGGGCATTTTGCCGAGGGACTCTTTAGTGGTCAGCATTAGATCTTGGAAAGTCACTGAGCTGGTACTCTCTAGATCTGGATCATGGGACACTTTTTGTGAACCCAGGAGAGTAATGTAGCGTCATGGTACATTATTGACTCCATGACATTGGTGACTTCACCCAGCAACACACGTTTCGATGCTTGATCAAAGGCCATATGATTTATGCTTCATCATTGCAGCAAATCAGCGGATCCTGACGTGCTTCTTCATTTCAAAGGCAAAAGCCAACTGCGCTTACAGTCTGTGCACTACGTCGTTCACCTGAACTCTCCAAGTTGCAGCTTTCAGGTCAAGCACGGCACATGATTGGTTCAGCGATCATGTGATCTTAACTAGAGTCGGTCTTCTGCGATAGGCTGTTGCGTGACAGATGAGTTGGTGGTGCAATCATGGATCTACTTACAAAGGCCTTTCTTTGAGACCCTCTTTGAATCTATCAGTAACTTTCTTCTGCAGGTATGATGTGAAGCTCAACAATGCAATCCTCGCAGAGGAGAAGCACCTGCCCCTGTGAGTCAGCAGTCACCGCCAGCATTACACATCATCATGTTCCTCGCCGGCCGCAGTTTTTGAGTGGCGTCCAAGGCGTCGATTGATTGAAAAAAAGTCGGAAACAATTTGGGCTCACATAGCAAACCCGCCTTTGATCTTGCATCATTGTGTCATGCTTTGTATACCCAGCTTGCATGTCCACGTTCCGTGTATTTCCTTCAAAGAACATGTTTTGACTGGTATTTCCATTTGAGTAGAATACTGCCAACAGTCTGTCTTATGAGGTATGCGCAACCTCTGACTGTCTTCAAGGCTCAGTTGTTGAGAGCAAGAAAAGTAGAAGCTCAGATTCTGACTGGGGTCCCTTGTGCAGGTACAAGGAGTTGGCGGAAAGGCCTGATGTGGAGTACATTGCGGGTGGTAAGTTGGAGAAATAGAGCATTGTCGCTTGTCAGTGGCATGCTTTGTAACGTTGCTACATGACACTTACAATGGTTTTACTCCTCTTCAAATAGGCGACTGCGCATGATCATCTTCCATGTCAGAGCTGGTCGTTGTCAAAACGGAGGACAAGTAATATCTTGAACCCCTGCTAGTTTAGTCTCATTTGTCTTCCTGAACGGTGGTGCAAATCGAAATCTGTCCTTTCAGAATGTTTCAAAAGCTTCATTATGGATTGAACATTGGTGTCATTGTATGCAGGGGCCACTCAGAACACAATTCGTGTTGCGCAAGTAAGTACACCCTTCTTTCGCTGAGCGTACCGCGTACATTGTTACGCAGGTTGCTGTCTTGTTAAACTTGGTCGGGCTTGATGGAATCCTCGCAGTCCTCTTCAAGATTGTGCAATCAGGCCATCTGCAAGTCCTGTGATGTCTACTCAATGCTTGTTCGTGATATCGACCTGCAGCCACTCCATTCCCTTAGAATGCTTTTTTATTTGCTGTAATGCCGCCTGCAGTGGATGTTGCAAAAGCCACAGGCGGTTGCGTACATCGGCTCTGTCGGAAAGGACGAGTTCGCGACAAAGATGAAGGAGAACGCATCCGCGACTGGGGTCGAGGTGAGTAAGAAGGCAGCTACAGGGGCCTCATGATTCTGTACGCGTGATGGAACGCAACATTGCTTCTACTCGTAAGGAGTGCTCTGCTTTCGCTACTCCTGTTTCTTCACGGGACACCGGATCAACGTTTTTTGAGCCACAGACAATTTTTCCAGTCTGTCCTGAGACGAACGTAGGCCATAATGTTGTTAGTGACCGAGACAAATGTGTTTGCCATGAAACGATCACAGATAACCATCTTCGTGATGCTCCTCCTCCTCATCTGGAAACTCATATTGGCCCTGGACTCCATAAAGTCCCGGAACTCCCCAGCTCATTCTGCTTGTCAGGTGCTTCCAACACAAGAGGGTCTCGAATGGAAGATTCAGACCTGCCTTAGTGCCTCATTTGCACTGACCTCCATTTTGCTTCGCAGGTGAACTATTTCGAAGATCCGTCGGGCACTCCCACCGGAACGTGCGGAGTCCTCATCGTAGGGGGGGAGAGGTAGGGGCCGCTTTCACCGTTTAAGAATTTCAGGCCAAGTTGACAGATCTCTTCAACAATTCAGAACTTGGAAAAAAGGAAACTCGTTTCTTCCTAACCTTCTTCTGGAGTCACGTATGCTTGTTGCAAGCTTGTCTGAACAGCGGCCGAAAGGAAGGACCAATCAGAAGCCGAACTCGATCCCTCAATCAGAAGCCGAACTCGATTCCCCACGGTTAGAGGAGAGTTGGAATATCTCCTACCACCGTCCCGTCGAAAACAGGGTTACTTAAGGTGTGAATAAGTAATGATTCTTACCTTTCCTTCAGACATGGTTACTCGTTCCAAGCTGTCTTCTTTACGAATCTCATGACGCCCTCCAACGCTCAGGTCGCTGGTAGCCAATCTATCGGCTGCTAACAACTACAAGGTGGACCATCTGAAGCAGCCCGAGAACTTGGCCTATGGTGAGTGCGAGCATTACTGCGCGTAGTTCTCTAGTCTCGTCGGTAATGCCGTTTGGACTTTACAGAGCCCAAGAACGCCTCGGCAAAACAGACGGAATATCCTGACCCGCCGCTCCAAGAAACGTGCCGTCTCCCATAGTCAAGTTCAACAGAAAGAAGTCAGCACCTTCCGTCATTGTTCCCCGCGGAGGTGTTGACTTCCCCTCTTTCCTTTCCTCTCTGCAGCCGAGCGCGCACAGTACTTCTACATCTCCGGCTTCTTCCTGACCGTCTCCCCAGACTCCGTCCAAGTGATTGCGAAGCACGCCGCCGAGAACAACAAGGTGGGAGACCCTCCGCGCTTCTTTGTTCATTCCGCAGCAGTCTGCGCTTTTGCTGCTTCTCTTTTGCATATTCCGACCCGTCCGCCCAGATGTTAAGTGGAGCAAATTCCGCGGAATAAGTTCCGGAGACCGAGTGTCACCAGCTCGACTTGACTGAGTGCTCTAAGTGGTCAAGTATTTGTTGTAAACGAAGTATTCTCAGAGTCTTTTGAATCAAGATCTGCTCCAGAGTAGCCTTTTTTACGTATGTGCACGAAGTGGAGACGTCAAATCGGATAGGCGGTCATACAAAATGAGGGCGTCCATGAATGGTCCCTTCGTTTCAGAGCGGGAGCTCTGACCTAACCCCTCTAGTGCTTCCACCCGTGTAAAAGTTCCGCTGCTGCTGCTGCTGCCGTTTCCTGTATTGCTGAGCCTTGCCGTCCGTATTGAACCTGATGCATACTTTCAGGACACAAGCATCAGAAAAGCGCGGACAGGAAGCAGCAACCCAGTGACGCCGTATCTGATTGGAAAAGTCCCTTTCTCTTGTTCCCTGGGCCGGTCGGTTTGCCTTCGTTCACACAGTCCCTTGTCGTGAACGCAGGTGTTTGGGATGAACCTTGCCGCCCCCTTCATCATCGACTTCTTCGGCGAGCCCCTGATGGCCGCCTTCCCGTGAGTTGCTGCCGCACTGTTCCGCACGTTTCTCCGATTCCGGATAAAAGCTCGGAACTTCAAATCGAAGAATCGGAGGAGGCGTTGGCCAATGAGCGTCAGAACATGTATGTCTAGGGTTTGTCCGTTTTCGTAACCTTGGGCAGTCATGCTGTGCCCAACAGATTCAATCATCTTCCTTCTTCAAATGTCCAGGGATACCATACCGAACTTTTGACTGATCCGAATCGCTGTGCAGGTACCTTGACTACGTGTTTGGAAACGAGACGGAGAGCCGCACGTTTGCGAAGAAGCAAGGCTGGGAGGTATGTCACTCCTCCTCCCTTTCCTCCTCCAGGTTTTTCTTGAGGGTTACTTTCTCTTCTTGCTCTTCGCCGTCTGTGTTCCTTATCATTCTGTGACACTCAAAAATGCAGGGGAGTTGTTTAGTTTTGCAGGGAATCCAGCGGAACACTGCCCGCCTCCAAGTGTTTGCGTACCTGACAGGGAAGTGTACTCTTTGGAAAGATTGTAACTCGCTAGGGGAGCCGTTCTTTTCGATATCCGTAGATACACCAATGGAGCCTGAATCTTTCTGTACGTTTCACAGACGGAGGACACCAAGGAGTTTGCTCAAAACACTGCCCGTTTCAGTGTTTGTAGTCTTCACGGAGGAATCGTACTCTTTGAAAGATTGTGACCCGCCAGGGGAACCGCTCTCTTTCAGATTCGTACATTCACCACTGAAACTTTCTTATTTGTTCCTTTTTACAGACGGAGGACACCAAGGAGATTGCGCTCAAGATCTCGGCCCTGCCCAAGGCGAGCGGCGCGCGCGCACGGACGGTCGTGATCACCCAGGGGGCCGATCCGACGGTCGTGGCGCAGAACGGGGTGGTCACGGAGCACCCGGTCATTCTGCTGCCGAAGGAGAAGCTGATTGACACCAACGGAGCAGGTGCGTGTCTTCAGTGTGCTTTCCTTAAGCGGAGTGTCACGTCGCTTGCCAGAGCTGTGAAAGGCTGTCGAGCCAGCTTTTAGCTCTCTTTAGATTGGCTGGCGGTCAGTAGCACGTGACCCTCGTTAGGCGACAGGTTGAGCGTTGGAATTTTTAGGAACGGGGAAGAGGGTCCGCAGTTCTCTCGTTAGATAGCCGCCTGTAGTTCTTAGACCTGTGCACCTCATAGATGTTCGCCTTCAGCGTCGCACGTGCGCCGATCACCTTCATATGCAAATCATCCAATTTCGTCCAGCTACTGACTCTGTGCTTGCTGACCAGAATTATCATCCCTGCTAGGCAGCTTTGCATAGTGTTTCTCACCATCGTATCTGGGCAACCTAAATTCCATCCCTGCTACGCAGCTCTTCAATTTGTCCCTTGCCAAACGGATTTGAGCAACTTGGCCTAACCTGCACCCATCGTCATGCCATCTTGCGCTGACCTCAGCACGTATTTGCAGGCGACGCGTTTGTGGGCGGGTTCCTTTCTCAGCTGGTGCAGAAGAAGGACATCGCGGAGTGCATAAGGGCCGGCAACTATGCCGCCAACGTCATCATCCAACGGTCAGGGTGCACCTTCCCCGCCAAGCCGGACTTCAAGTAGCGACCCGCCGGTTCATGTCGCCCAGGGTTATGTTTGCTAAAGCCACCTTGAAATTCATACCGCGAGTGTCTGCTTGGTCCAAGGGGAGAGTCTGATCAACGATTTTTGAGTTGAAGAAAGTAAAGCCTCCAAGTCGTTGGTCATCTCCGACCAGGCCGCTTGTTGCGCCACCGAATCCTTAACCGAGGTGCTATACCCGAGCTTAACCTTCTAATTGGAGACCTAGTCAGATGTCGCAACAATGGTTCACCTCACCAAATGCTCAAAGCAGGCCCCTGCAGCACCGACATGCATATCTAGATCTCCGTCTGGCTTTCGGTGGAATTTTGCATTATGCTACATGTATATGCTGATGTGTGCAAGCGACCATGTAAACAGTATTGCGTCGGAACATGTATGGTTGTGGAGAACTTTCTACGTTACCAACTAGCCTATGCCCGACGGCGGCCGTATGTGAATCTTATTGAATACTGTTTGGAAGATTCATTGCATACTAGCCAGCATGTCATGGGATGCTTTGGCTCATGACGTGGCTCAAGCATGGATTTGTAACATTGAACTAGTGACTCCCATGTCACTACATGATCGAGCTTCACGCAATCATTATGCAATTCAACTTAACTGCCTCTATATACGGGCCCATGCTGGCACGTGCACTGAAGTTAAGGCACGATATTGACCCATTAGCTTAATATCTTGAATCTGCATGCATGTTCGGATTTCCAGTAGTCCAGGTGTCCGCGGTTTTGAAAGTCAGCGATCGCGATATAGAAGCTAGGCATGGACGGCAGCTTTTGAGTGGGAAGCCCCTGCAACCAATATAGCCGATGGTACGCATGCGCGGTTGCTAAATTTGGATCATAACTCAAGGCCTGATAAGATACAAAATCAAAGTCGATCTCAATCCTCTATCTCGCCCAAGTGGGTGCGCTTAGCTGAAATTCTGCAAGCGCCTTACCAAGTGCATCAATGTGGTGCGTGGGCCGCTTTTGCATGACGGATGTAGATCGAACCGGCACCTTTCAATCACCTATAGCAGACGGTACTAAAACTGGATCCTTTGCGCAGACGGTGTTGGCTCGTCGGCGAACTACATGGTTGCTTGAGAACACGTTGTGTTTGAGTCGAACTTGAGTACTTCCTTAAGCAGTCCAAAGATGAGTATGGGAAGCCGCTATAAGATTCCAGCATCTCGAATCAGTCCCCAAAGCAAACTAGCTTAGATCTGGTCTTCTTTCTTATAAGTCCGACAATCAAACTTGGATGTACAGATAAGCTCGTACGCGCGCACCAGCCTTGTTGACATTCCCTCACGCGTGCCTGCCATTGAGTGTTCATCTTAACTGTCTCCATGCTCCTACGCTTGCCAATCTGGATTCATCGCCCTCAATCTTCTGAGAAGCTAGAGAAAAACGGTCGCTCATCTGGTTATTAGTCCCCTTCATGCGAATGCCATATGTTACGTACCATACACTAGCTATTCCCGGCTTTGCCTGGCTTAGCCTGAATGAGAAACGCCACTGCGGATCCTATAGCCCTATACCTGATCACCACCTGTTGTCAATGCGCTATGGTACATCACATTGCTGTAATACCTCCCCCCGTGCCCCGACGATATGATCTCCTCGCCAAGAAGCCCTCTTCTCTAGTTGTACTTTTCATCAGCTCATTCTTTTTCATCAGCTCGTTCTTTTTCATCAGCTCATCTTTCCACAGCCCGCAGGCGTGCCTTCACTTCGTTTTCAGCACTGTGATAGACCCCGTCCCTTCTGTCTTAATCTTCGTCAGCTTGATCACCGTCCTCCCCCCCAGCGAACGAGTCCTGGGAGACGAACTAGACACGGCGGGAGAGTGCGCCACTTTCTGTGCCGGCGTGGGTGGGGACCGCAGCCCCTGGCTGACGTCAGAACGGGTAGGGCTTGCTCCCAACTCCTGCCTAGGGGGCCCGAATGGATAGATCTTGCTTCCCCCGGAAACTCGCCGCTCTAGATTGCGGGGGGGGGTGAACAATTGGGTAGGGTATTTGCTGGGTTGGATTGGGAGAGGCGACAGAGGGGAGGCCAGACTTGGCACGGCGGTGCCGGCTCGCGGGGGCGAGCTCAGGGGATTTTGTTCTGCAGGCGGCACGAGAGCAGGGTTAGCAGAAAGTTGGAACAGAACAACAAAACCGGAAACTGCTAACGAAAGACTTGACCTTTAAGGGGGGAGAGCTCAGGGAAGTTCTGTAGGCAGAACGACAGCAGAACCAGACGAGGCTCGGAAGACAACAATTGGCAACAATATTGAGCAAAGTTGCCCTCAAGAACGCTATCAGCCGCAGATACGACCCTCAGACTCTTTTGTTTGGCAGGTTACAGACGCAACTTGCAGTTGCATCACTGATCAGACGTGCAGGTGCGACTGATGAAAGACAGTAGACGTGGATATAGTGACCAACCAGTCAAAGGCGTCCCAGTCAAACCTGCTTGGACAATGGCACACCTCCAGAGAGACAATATTCTGCTGGGGGCTTCAGATTACCAAGATGGCCGTAGGAAGCTAGATGGATGAACAGTCGAGAAACGACGTCTCACCTTGCTTGATGCCCTTGCCGATTGTGAATCGCTGTCCGCGTTGAGGCTTGCCAGCATCTTGCATCTGCTGTCGCTTTGTTGCCCTCAGGAAATGGTCTGCAATCACCAAAATTATTTTCGTTTTGGAGAATCATCATGGAATGGTTCCTTACTTTGAGGAAAACCTCATCACGAGCGTCAGATGGGAAACAATCCTAAGCTAGGGGCACAATTCTATTGGAATCCATGTTGAGGCATGAAAAGCAAACTGTGGCAGTGCTGAAAATCAAGGATTGACGCGAATTGCAGTCAGCGTGCTACAACAGAAGTTTCACAATCGACATAGGAAGTCTTGAGGACAAAACTCGGAGTGTGCTTTCCAGTAAGGTCAAAAAGTCTCATTTTGGGTTTAGAAGCTGGGCATGCGATGTGAGTAGTCCTCGCATCCCTTGTTGGATGCATCTTGGCTTGGTCTCAGCGTTAGTCAGAATGAGCTGATTGCTGCTTACCTGGTCCCGGCGGGCTTGGCTCAATGCTTTCAACCGTAGCCTCTTCGCATGTGTAGCTGAAAAGGAGAAGCAAGAATTCTGCTCAGAGAATTGATTGTGCTGTACCTGACAGGGTGGTTCTTGCCAATCGCAACTGATAGTTCCATTGTGAGTTTCAACCTTGAAAACTCCAAGTTCTGGTCCAATCTTGCCAAACTCAGTCAATACTGCCTACGGACAGGGTGCCAACGTGTATCATGGGACAGCCAGATACCGCATTTATAAACAGGACCGGCTTGTTGGACTGACTTGCACAAACTGCTCACCTTGGATTGATATCCTTGACAGGTACGAAGATAGATTCCACTCCATCCAAAAGTTCAGCCTCTTCACCTGTCATTGAGAGTTGTAAACTTCAGCCCTCTATCGATAGCCTTCAGTTCTTCAATCGTGCAGGCAATGAAAAGGACTCTGCTCAACAGCTTGGACTCCATATGGAACACACGCTTGTTGAGGGGTCCCTTCCTTGGGGAGTCCCTTCCATTTTCCTATTGATGAGATGCCTTAACTTGGAAAGTCCTGTGCAACGGTCATACGTACCTCTAAGGACAGCATATGAGCTGCCGGCAGTGCAGTCAACACCGTGGTCTTGGCTCCATGACTCAGTGCTCTGAAAATTAAGCAGTAGCAATTGGTTAGCAGTCTCCTAGCCAGCTCACAAAGATGTCAGGAGTACTTCCTGGCAGAGTTGGTCAAGTGTGGTCAATCAGCACTTTCCTTGCCATACAAGCACAGTAAGATGGTCTAAGCAGAAGATGCGTGCCCTTTTTAACAGTGGCCTATAGAACTCTTGTCTGTCCTGCACAGCTCCACAGCTCGAGTCCTGCATTTACAGAAACACAGTCGCCTTTGGACATTTCCAAAGTGTTTCCGAAATCAGCTTACCAAGATTGTTGATGGTTCCAGGAAGTCTGACGCACAGCCACTGAGGGAGACCCTCTCTGCCTGCCGGTGCTCTTCTCCAATCAGCTTACGCTTCCTGCAGGCCCGCATGCTAGGGCTCAGCGGCTCTGGGCTGGTGCTGACAACATAGCCTGCAGTGACGGAAGCGTTATTTAGGAGAAGCGAGCTTAGCTTTCAGAACCCCGCTTGATCACTCCCAGTTTAAGGTTCTGAAGCCCCATTGTTTCAAAAGGCAGAGACTTTCAGAACAATCCCGCTAATCTGCCATAAGCTTGCCAAGCCCCAAGCTTGCGCAGCTTCAATGCTGTACTTCTAACCAGTGATAGAGAAAGGCAATAGAACACCGCGTCAGGGATGCAAGACTTGGCAGGCACAGTGCATTGCATATGGCAACTAAGAGTTTGTGAAAGGGAGTGCTTGACTAGAACTTTTTTAGCAAGTGAGAGAGTGCGGAACATTTGCATATTTGACGTCCTGGAACTCAAGGTCTCACCTTGTGATTCCTGGCTCTGAATGAACAAGTCAGTCTCATCGCAAGTTCCTTGTGACAGAAATGTTGGCTCATCTGAGCAACTCTGAGGGCCTTCGGTCCACAGAAGATCTGCATAACACAGCATTCAATGAGGGTGCCGCCCGACTTTATTATGTGCGTGGCTTGAACAAGCATAGAGTATCGTGGAAGAATGTAACAAAGTTTCGGTATAGGGATATGGGGTGGGCAAAAATTGACGCAGTAAGTGGATTATTTTGCGAGCAAAAGTGGAGGCACGTGGAAGAGATTTACGTGAGATGACAACACGTGAACAAGTATTGATTTAAGGGGAGAACCTTATTCAGCTCCCTTCAATCTGCTTCTCCAGAACCAGAGTGGCCGACCAGAGTCCTCTAAGTGACGGTCTCACACAATCACTGCCACATTCTGATGAACATAGTAAATGCTTGTAATACGGAAATATCCCGAACCGAAGAACAGCTATCTCTCAGACTTTGAAATTGACCAGCTTTATGTTGTCACCCAATCCACGCACATGTTCATGAAGACTCCAAAGAAACGTTTCCAATGATTGAGCACATATTTCCGCAGCTCAGAGAATGAATCGAGAATTTGGATTTGAGATTGAAAAACACTCAATAACCTCGCGCACCTGGCAACAATGTGAGGTCTGGAGGATACTGAAGCGTCTCTTCCCAATGCCATGCAGGCTCCATTGCGGGTGGGGCAGGTTGACGTTGTGTAGGCACGCATGAGCAGACCAATCAATGCTGTGTCAATGAGCGCACCCTTCGAAACAGCTCTCCGGTGCGCCCGCGCCGTTACAAAGCTATTGACACTCCAGGACCGCCCGCACAAATTTGAACAGTGACGAGCAGTTCCAACAAGCGCCCTTAGCATTGCCGTGCAGGTTGGGGAGCTGCCCCTGGGCTCGGCGCTGCCCTTTCAAGGCAATCCTCAGTCGGAGCTGGCGCAAATGAAAGAGCTCCTGGCAGAGCTGCTCCAAGAGCTGATGCAGAAGAAAGCCTGGATCTCAGGCTGGCTTCTGCGGACAAGTATCTACAAAAGATCTAACGAAAAGGTACACAATGCTAACGAAAAGTCAACCTTTTCACCTCCCTGGGAATGCTGTACACACGAAAGGGATGATTCCTCAAGGGCTATCCAGTACTGGCGCGCCACAGGTGGCCTGCATCAATGCACCAAATAAACGAGCGCCCGCTGAATCAATGGATGCATGTCGCTCCGAGATTGTCGAATCTGTGCGAGTACCGCATTGCGGGTAAAATCTGACACTGGATACCGTTGGGCGTACTTACTGCTCGTGCGTGCTCAGGGCTGGTGTCAGCGACGGTTGATGTGATCGTAAAATATGGCGCGAAGTCGCCGAAACCCTTGGGCTTTCTGGAGCGTCCAACGGGTGACATCGACGGTCGCAATGAATTTCAAGCGGCTTGCCCAACCCACGATCGTTCCCCTTCCCCAAGTTCCAACCCCTGGGTAACCGATCAATTTGGATCTGCAGGCGGTTTTCAGTCATGTGCATGCACCGCGTGGCTGCCGTTGTCGTTTACGAGGTAACCGGGGCTGACGCCAGGTACAGTGACGGTGCCGGGTACATTCAACCGGCCATGCCAGTGGTACCTACCGGTAGAAATCAGGTCCCTGGAGTCGGGACGTGCAATGCAAGGGGCGCATGAGCTACAGTGGCACCTGCCACCAACTTGCACATTCCAATCTCCTGGTGCATGACCTCACGCCGGCACAGTGTCACGGAAACTGCTCTTGGCCAACCGTTATCGCTCCACGCCGGGCCAGGTTAACCCCGGGCCGGCCGGTACCTACATAGCATATCGTCACTGGTCAGGCCCCACTGCCGCAAAACGGACAAAGCAGCCGAACTTTTCTTGGAAAAAAGTTGCGGACGCAAGTTTGTCACAACTCGGACCTGTAACCGCCGACAAACAACCGGGCACTCCCTGTGACATTAGGGTTATGTTGCAAGCCTGTGACGGTTTGATAGGGTCGCGCCACCTTACAGTGACTGCACTACGATTAGGGTTAATACTAACGGCTCAGGCATATGCTTCGGTTTTAGTGTTTGGTAAGGCTCCCGGTAGTCTTGGATTATGCCCGGTTTATAAAATCGGACGGTGTCCGCGTCCGTTTTTCCGAGAAAAGTTCGGCTGCTTTGTGCCTCTTGCCCGCGGCCCCACTGCCGCGGCTGAGTCGGCCCAGTCGGGACTGTGATTGGCTGATCAATCATCATTGGCGAGGGGGAGGTGGTTGGGTGCAAAATAGTACCCATCCTATGTGGCAGCCCCTAATGCAATTAGAATGCTATCTTTGGCCGACCGGAAGTTTCAGCCGGCCCGCTTGCTTTCCATACACAAAAATCCAAACCCAGTTCGTTGACACTTGAGAGAACCACTCGAACAGTCGTGCTCTTTCCCTCGAGTACGCGGCCTCTTTTAACCTATCGAAGTTTCACTCAACCTTCTTTACTAACCACCTGGAACACAAACCAAGCCCGGGCACTCCCAAAATAACCCGGCGTTTGTAACTTTGTACCCCTATCCCCTGTGATTGGCTGAGCTACCTACTCCTCTAAGCTGCATCGTGAATCGTGATTCGGACACCGCTTGATTCTATGGTTCTGTAGAGGAATGCATGATGCAAATTGGCTGGCGATTTTGATGCACATGCACAACTGGGGACGAGCGCAGTGCTGAGTGCATAAGGAAACCAGGTAAAGAAGGTAGCGACGTGATGGGTCTTTTCTCCAAACCGCAGAACCAGAGGCGCACGTTACATGTGGTTCAAAACACCTCTTGTTGCATGGCGGCTTCTTCCAAGCAATTCTATCGTTAGAGCACTGCTTCGCAAGCAGGAAGATAAGGTTCTGAAATCCTGGAAAATCATACCAAAGTCAACCAACCGAAACAATGGCGTCTGCGTCGAGTGTGCTCGCAATCATCCGGGCGGCCCATCCCGAGCTGAAGAACAAGCATGACAAGCTAGCATTCTCCATCTATGCCATCTTTTTGGCAAACGGTTACAGGTTGGTGGGCACCGGGGCAGCGGAAGCAGATCCCGAGGAAGGACGTGAGCTTTATCCAACTCTCACATCTTCATTTAAACTTGCTCAATTGCGAAGGGCGAGTCTTAGCTAACCAGCGTCCAGCATTACTCTAATCGGACTCTGCCATCAGACCAGAGGAAAGTTGCAAAGGGCTTTGAATTTTGCTGCCTCAAAATGCTCTTGAAAATTTGCGCCCAGGACCCTCATTTGTGTCTTAGAGATGGCATTGCGTAGCAAGTATTTCCTGCGCATGCTTGCTTCCAAGGCATGCGTGTGAGCTGAGTACCCCAGCAGGGCGTTCTGCTTTGCCAGAGGTTCCGAGGGTATGTATGCATCAATTTAAAGTCACCTTGTGCAAACCTTCCCACAATCGCTGTACCACCTGCAATCATGAAACGCGAGAAATGCAACTGATATTGAATTCAGAATGTCTGGCTGCCTTTCAATCAAAAAGGCCCAGGAGAGTCGAAGTGGCACATATCCGTTTCTTCATTTCCAACCGTCCGTATCAACCGTAGAATATCATAAGCTTGATTGTATGACCACTAATCCCAATGCTGCCAGCAACAAAGCCCCAAGCCATCAGAACCGGGAGAGCAGGGAGTTCCGTAACCCCACTGTGTGTAGAAAACCACCAGGCTTGATAACCAACCGTGCTTCACCGCATCTTTCCAGCCCAGTTGACAGACGACTTTGAGAGTAGAAACTCTTGTCTCCACAATTGCGCAGTACCTCATCTCAATATAAGTTGATTATGGTGCAGGGACTCCTTCCCGTGCTGGCAGTTCCAGGCCAGGGCACCACAATAGCATCGAGGAGTGGCATTCAGAATCCTCTGAATGCCAGCACTAAGTCGTACCAACCTTTCCATCAATCCATCTTCTGCCTGACTTGCAGCGCCCAAGACCCCAAAGCCCGAGGATGACGTCAGCCTTGAGGGGTGGGACTCCCTGGGGGACTCGTACATGCTGCGCTACGTGAAGGACGGGGACGAGCAGGCGTATCCGGTCGTGCTCTCGATGATGACGGTCGGGGACAAACTCCTGGTAGACGCGACACGGGTGGGAAGCCAGGGGGAGGCCGTTCACACGCTTGAGCTCAAGTGAGTTCCGCGTGTTTTCCCTCTCTTTTTCCTACTAGTTCGCCTTCTTCTTTTCCTGCCCCCGATTGTCTGATTTTGTGATGGCGTGAAAAAGGAAGCGCATGTTGAGAGTCTGTGCAAACACAGGGATTAGCTTGTTCAGCTTGGAGAGGTGTTGTGTGGGACGTCAGGGGCTCTTGTGGAAGCTAGCACGGGGATCCAGAAAATGTGCCGCTTTATGAAACGCCACTTTTGACGGGTGACGGGTGACAGGTGGCAAAGATGGGCGTAACTTTTTTGGCGCCTCAATCAGAACGGGATGTGCCAGAATCCATGTTAGATGAGCAGCAAGGACAAAGCTCAGCTGGTGGCGAACATGTACATGAGCGATGGTTTCAGTTTGCAGTTTGCGCGGGCACATTGGTTTGTAGCCTTGCTTCGCCTGTGGACCACGAGACTGAGAAGTTCTGCCAAATGGTGATTGAGCATTCACTCGACATTCTGGAACCACTTGTCTGATTCAGACTATTCTTGGCATGTGGAAGTGTAGAAGCAGAACTGTGTACGCCCCCTTTTTGGTGCTGACCTTGCCCCTGGGCCGCTTTTCCAATCAACTATTTGTCACTGCGATTGATGACATTCTGCACCAAATGCCTGGGGCCGCATGCTGTTTCGTGATTGGATCTTTGAGCGGCAGATTGAAACCTGGCAAGTCCAAGGGCTTGCAAGTCCTAAATCTGAACCGAGTTTCTCAGGATTTCTAGATACTGAAATAGCCCTCTCTTCCCTTACTAATCCGTCCGAACTAGAAATTGACAAGGGGGATCCCCCTGACTCCGACCACAAACTTTCCAAGCTTCCATCATAGCTTCAGTAGCGGAAATTACTGCACCTTGTAGAAAAGCGATATCGAAATCGCCTGACCCAAACAGAAGGTCAGCACCTAAACCGGACCAGTCATAAGTCAGGCAAGACAGCATTCGACAAGGATCTCAAAGCATGCAAAACCTGCCAGTACGTATCTGGGTCTTGTAAACATAAACTACACAACATTCTGGGCGTCACAATCTTGGGTTCATGATTTGAGGCTCACAAGCGCTCGCGCTTTTGCAGGGTGGATGATTATGTAACCGATGAGGAGGGCCACAATTACGCGGCGCTGTACAAGGACCTCGACAGGCTCGTGGGGCGGGTGCAAGGTTCCATCATCTCAAAGCTGAGCTCGGAAGAGGCGAAAGACAAGGGCACGGCGGGCATCCGTCCATCCGGGTGAGAAAGGATTTGCGGAAGAATACTAGGACTGATCGGAAGCTCGGAGTATGCTGCACCCGACGTGCTGTTGTCAGTCTGTGCGTGCGGTTGACAAGCCTGAGTCCGTGCAGAAACTGCAGAATGATGGAGTGATTACTTGTGGTTTCATGTGTTTAATTATCTTATGTGATTAGGTTGTTGAGAATCTCTTGAGAAACAACTTTCTGAGGAGCACACATGGATGCTTTTCTGAGGCGCTGACCACTCTGGCTACAAGAGAGTGCACTGAGCTCTTCTCTGTTCCTCCACATACGAATACACAATCCCGCTCGACGTCCCCAGATGTGACTTGAGCAACAGGAGCGGCCGTGCCTTGCTGACGTCACGTCAAACCACCCGCTGAGTCACCATGCTCCTTCATTCCCTGCGCAACGAGATTGGCGGCGGGGCACGTAGCGTTCATGCTCTGCCCCCAACCCCGATCCCTTGCTGACATCATCTCAAGGCACCTGCTGACGTCACCCTACTCACTCTCTCCTTCCCCCCCTGCAGCGAAATGGCGGAGGGCCCCGAAGCGTTCATGCCCCGTCCCGGCCCCACCCCGCTGGCGGAAGGTCCCCGAGGGAGCGGCCAGGGGGGCAGCGTTCCAGGCATTCCCGTGGGGGGGGCGTATACCGACCCGGACCTGATGCCAATGGGGGGTGCGGGGATCCCCCCACAGTAAGCGTCTTGGCAATC